GAAGTCATCACGGACGCCTTTATAGCCGACACATCATTTCCAGAGGTCACTTTTGATGCCTTTAGAGCATGCCAAATGGTGTGTCCAGCCGTCACCACATGTCTCATGCTGGATGCTCCCTCTTCCGTACACATTTTTGGGTTTTAGATGAGTTTTATTTGGGTTTTTAGAATTATGGTTTTCATCCTATTTTCGCTAGGTTTTGGAGGAAAAAAATCATGAATTATTTTGTGCGCTCTTTTTTGCTTTCATGAGAAGTGCAAATTTGCTTCTATGAAAGTTGTGCTTATTGAAAAAAGGAAAAGAAGTGCTTACGTGAGAAACACATTTTTGCTTCTCATGGAGGCACAAATTTACCTCCGCGGGAAAAAGGAAAAATAATCAAATTTGCTTCTCGTGAAGGTACAGATTTGCTTCCGCGAGAACAACTATGCATCTTGGGGAAAAATTGTACTTCCATAAGAAGCACAGATTTACTTCCGTGAGAAGCACAAAATGAAAAAAAATGTGTTTCCACAAGCACAGATTTGCCTCTCATGGAGGCACAAATTTAAACGGCTCCGTTTTGTTGATTCATGTTTATTTTTTGTTTTTAACGAAAATCCTACAATAGAAAGGAAACTCCCATATTGCGACAAATGACATATATGCAGTGTGCCACTTGTCAGCATATGAGAAAGTAGCTAGTGATTTCACTCCTTCGGGCATTCAACACGCGGGGCGACTATATCTCGCATTAAGTGGGTTAGAAGGATTGAACACGCGGGGCGACTATATCTCACATTAAGTGGGTTAGAAGGATATCTCCTTGAAGGACTTCTCTGTCTCGCGTAGCAACTAAACTGACCCATTAGCACATACTCCATTCGTCCCAAAATATAAGAACGTTTTTGACACTATGCTAATGTTAAAAATGTTCTTATATTTTGGAACGGAGGGAGTAGTTGCTAGAGATGCTAGCCACTGTGTGTGTGTCGAGTTCATGGTGAAATTGTAGGGCGCGACATACTTAGGTAAAATAGTCGGTTTTCTCCGTCCGTTTTTTTATTTTTGTTTTTACACCGGTTTTCTTTGTTTCTTTCTTTGTTTTCATTTTTTTTCTTTTCTCTATTTTCCTTTGTTTTTCTTTGGTTTCTTTGTTTTTTTCAGCTTCCATGCCTTTTTTTATTTCTTTCTTTTGTCTTCATTTTTAATAAAATTTTCTAGTACAAGTTTAACATTTTTCAAACACAAGATCAGCATTTATTGAATACCTGGTCAACATTTTCTCTATACATATTCAACATTTTTCGAATACATGGACAATTTTTTTCTGTAAACATTAAACATTTTCAAATACTTGATTAACATTTTTCTATGCACATTTATCATTTTCCAATGCTTCATTAACAGTTTTCAAATACTTGTTCAATATTTTTTTTCAAATGCTTGATTAACATTTTTATATACATGATCAAAGTTTTTCATTATTTTTAATACATGGTCACTATTTTCTCTATACGCATTTAATATTTTTCAAATGCTTGATTAACATTTTTTAATACTTGTTCAATATTTCTTCAACTGCTTGATTGACATTTTTATATGCATGATAATTTTTATCATTTTTTAACACATGGTCAACATTTTTCTATACACATTTAACATTTCTCAAATACTTGTTCAACATTGTTTTCAAATGCTTGATTCATATTTTTCCATACACATTTTTTCGTATACCATTTTTGTATACATGATAAACATTTTCTCTATATGCATTTAACATTTTTTCAAATGCTTGGTCAACATAATTCAAATATTTTTTGTAATATAGAATATCTATAAAAGTATAAATAAAATTGAAGAAAAGTAAAAAAAGAAAGTATCCCTGTGGTCAGTGACGTGATGGGCCGGACCAATATGGAGCTCGCCTTCAGCGAAACTTCCACTCGTCTCGCTGTAGGCGAGACATACCAGCGCCCTTTAACACGAGGTCTCGCTCTACCCTATGCGGGGAACAAGAGGTCTCATTTATGCCAAACCCTATTCAGCGTCTTCAGCGCCCCTTACTTCGTTTTCCACAAACGGGCTCATACCTCCCCTTCAACGCTGGACCGCCCCATTTGTCTCTTTTTCCTGTTTTAAAGGGCAAAAAACTCTGCACGAGTGAGATTCAAACTGTGACCTCCTCGCTCGGGATTAGCTACCATAACCAACTAGACAACCCACATAATGTGATTCGTTACTTCCCTTTCCTTCTTTTGTTCCATTCTTTCCTTTCTTTTTCCTTTTTCTTGTTCCTCTTGAAAGATGCGTGAACTTTTTTCACAAAATTGATGAACTTTTTTCAAAACTGGTGAACTTCTTGGAATTCGTCAACTTTTTCAAAACTGATGAACTTTTTCCTTATTCTTGTTTTTTTAAATATGTAATCCTTTTTCCAAAATCGACGAACTTTTTTTAAAATTCTTGGCCTTTTTTTATCAAAATTGATGAATGTTTTTCAACTCAGTGAACTTTTTTTTTCAGAATCCGGTGATTTTTTTTGTCAAAATTGATGAACTTTTTAAAAATAAGTGAACGTTTTTCAAATTCGTGAACCTTTTTTGTTATCTGGTGAACTTTTTTTGATCTTTTTGGGGAAATTTCGTTAATCCATTTTGCAAAATCGATGAACATTTTTAATATTCATGAATTTTGTTTCATATTTATGTTTTCCTTTTTCGAAAAAATCCTAACTGGGACTGAAACAACGGTAGAATGGCGCCGTCTTCAATTATAACTCATCAGATTGATTGTTGTACAATGGTTAATGCGCCAAGCAGGTAAATGTTGGCGTGCGGGTTTGAATCCCTTGTCTCGCAGAATATAATAACATCCGTGGATATAGTTCTTCTCCCGGTTTGTTTTAACATGTTGCTGGACGGGACCGATCCTGCGCCGACGTTGAGGGCGCCGAAGAGGGGTTCTCCTCATTTAGACGGAGGCACGTGCTCTGGGCTGCAAGGTTGGGCGCCCAATAGAGTGAAAATCGCACAGTCGCATACCTCATGGGCCAGGCCCGTTATTGCTCTTCTGCACATTTTTTTAATTTTTTTATTCATTCTAAAAGATGCTGGTCCCTCTGAACATATTTGAAACATTCCTTATGTAATAAAAATGTTCACATATTACAAAAGAATTCCCAAACAATTTTTGAAGTGTTTTTACATTTAAAAAATTGTATTTAGAAATGTTCATCTACTGTTAATAAGTATTCACACATTTAACATGAAATGTTTGCTTTATTCTAATTTTTTTCATGTATTTTGAAATATCATTAAACTTTAAAAAGTGCTCATTCCTTTGAATAAAATGTTCATGGTAATTTAAAAAACTTCATGTTTTTATTTAGAAAGATGTATATTATCTATTTTATAATTAAAATAGAAGACAGGCAAGCCACCAAGTTTATTCACATAAGTTGATCTGTTGATCTCGGTGTTGGCTGGGATTTATTTTTACAGAACTTAGCCCATGATGATCTCGATTTCTTATAAAAGAAGGAAAGATTTGTATGGTTTATCTGCGGAGAACCGGACGAAGACTGTCACAACATGCTCGCAAAAACAAGGCACCCCGGACGGCCTAACAACCCACACAAGAACACACACACACACACACCATCGAGGAGAAAAGGACTGTCGAGGTTGCCATCCGGTGCCGTCGTCATCACTTCTCCGCGAGCCAGCGACTGTGACTTGACCATCGATGACAGCCACGAAGCCATCACCGCAAACAAGCGTCGAGGTCTGTGCCGACGAAAGCCAAACCGTCAACCACACGTGCCGGTGACCAGGCAACTCCGACTCTGTCGACGAGCATTGCAGGAGAAAAAGTGTTGGGTCTGCGCCAAGCCAGCTCCGGAACTAACCACCCGCCGCACGTCATCGTCGCCGCAAGGGCCCACCTCAGCAACTCCGACTCTAGAAAGACCAAGTGATGCACGACAACCCCTCGCACGCACCGGATGAGACCGACTACCAAAATCTAGCTGCAAACCTACTCCGTCTGAAGCTGCTATCGTTGCCACATAAGAAGTCATGCGAACCATTCACATCGCCAACCGAGCATCTGCCGATCACAATGTCGTGCACATTTAGCTCCATGAATGCGCGAATGGGACCAATGACCTTGAAGGCGACACCACCAAGAGGATAGCGACATGGACACTCCGACCTTCTTTGGTGGTGTTAGTGTGCTACTTTCGCAACTTGACTTTTACACTTTTTCGTAGATTTGTTTTTTAAAGGTTTTATTTCATGAACTGTGCGTCCAAATCATGAACCATTTCACCGTTGAATTTCTCATTCCGAGATCGTCAAAATTGTATGCCATGTTACTAGGTTTGACTAACCTTTCCCCCAAAAATAGGAAACCAACAAAAAAAAGAACGCAAACCGAAAAAAAAATCAAAAACCAAAAGCGCAGTTGGGTTTATGTGAGAAGTAGATATGATTTTACCTTTTCGGAAAGCACAATTGTGCTTCACGTGAGGATTTTTTTTTCGAGAAAACATAGGAAAACCAGTATACTTTGAAAATCCAAATAATCCAAAAAAACATGTAGAAAATAGGAAAAATCGTGCTCCCACGGGTGCACCCAACGCGCGACATGTGGTGGCGGCTAGACACACCAAGTGGCATGCTTCCAGCCCACAAAAAATAGGCATGCCAGATACCCTTTGATTAGTTTTATTTAGATCACCCTCTCTAATTAGTTAGTCCCACTTTTTTTAGGGTTATTAGCCCCACTTTTTTTGAGGCAGGGTATTAGTCCCACATTTTTTGTGAAGTGAAGGTATTAGTCTCACATTTTTTTTGGAGGAACCATTAGCCCCACATTTTTTGGGTCACAATCTGGCACCGATTATCCATCCATGGCCCATGGGCCAGCATCCTAGTTGCCTCATCTCTTCTCTACCTCTCTATGTTCACCCTGCAGCGAAAGGTGTGGGTGTGACGCACGGCCCATCCGCCGAGATGAACCACGTCAAGTCGGCTCTTCTCTCAGGCCACCGCCCGCACCGTCTCGCGGCGGCGGCGCCGCAGCAGCTGGCGGCCACCGCGTCGTTCCACTCCACGCCTCCCCTGCAGCGGAAGCGCAAGACCCAGTGGCAGCACGTAAACATCTCCCTCCCTGTTGTGTTATTGATAGCTCGCGGGAATTTTTTTAATTTTTATTTTGTTAGATCCGCCTGTACTTTGCAGTTGGTCGGTAGGCTGTTTGCTGAAATGCCTGTATGGGGAAAAGCCTTCCGTTTCCGTCGATGTATTACTCTTTTGAGAGGAATTCTTGCTTGATCTGTTTGATGTATTTCCCGTGAGAAAGGTAGGCCATACCACCGCTAGATTTGGGGATTTCTCTGTTAGATGCTTGCTTGTTTTGACGAAATTAGATGCTTCTGAATATTGGGTTCCTCAAGGTGAATTTGGACGTCCTTGCATGCTTGGCGAAATGCCCCCCAGAGAATAGTTAGGGCCGTACCAGATTGTGGAAGCTTGACCGGAATGGAATTCCTTGTGCTTTCCAAAATCATTTTTTGCCATGGTGCGATGTTTTTTTTTTTTGAGACAAACTCGCAAAGCTTTATTGATCTATCAGGATGTTTCCAGGTACAAAATTGAGATCTCCCGGGTGGCCTAACCAAGCATGACGGCCTACCCCCAGGGTTAATACATGCTTCGTGAGGTTGTGAGCCTTGAAATTCAAGCTCCTAAACTCATGCTTAAAACTACATGAGGTGTAAGAAGATGATCTGCCTATTATTTCATATACAATGGCTCCATAGCTAGCTCCACTTCTTTCGTTGATATCATCTACCACAACTTCGCAATCAGAAGGGATCACGATTTTCTGGACATGAAGGTCCTCTGCTAGAGCAAGGGTTCTCTGATGGCCAATGCCTCAAGTGTCGCTTGATCGTCGATGGCATTAAAAACTACTCAGATGCTCCCAGAAAATTTCCCTCCACACTTCTGCATATTGCTGCTGGTGCACCAAAACCTCCTGCCGTAGAAACAGTGGCATCCACATTGAACTTCACGTGATCATCAAGTGGGGGGATCCACTGACAGGATCTAGGCAATGGATTCCTCCGTTCCTTCGCTGGTTTGGACAAGATCTGAATATCTGACAAGAAAGATGATATGAAGCAATGATTAGATAGCAGGCTTTGATAAGTTTCCCCATGATTTGCCTTTCTTCGCGCGCTCCACACAGCCCATAATGTCACTACCATTCTGTTGAATTCATTATGAATGAGAGAATCATGCATTGCAAACAACCAAATTTTGGCACTTCCGTCCTGGTTCGACCTCATATGTTCAACCATCTCTTCCAACGAGAGTGCCCACACGCTTCTAGCCATATTGCAACTCAGGAGAGAGTGGCGTCAGCTGTCCTCCGCTCCGCATAACAGGCATACCCGTGTATCAGCCATGTTTCCGTGATGTAGGACATCGCCAATGGGTAGCGAGTGCCGGACCAAACACCACAGAAAAACTTTAATTTTTGAGGGCACCTTGATGTTCCAGAGTGATGTCCAGTTTTTCGCTCCTCCTAAGTGATCCAAGCAACCTGTGCCTTCTTCAGTCCACCCTTCTCTGCTGCATTTTGTTCGGGCAATAAGTTTGTACGCCAAGCTCACTGAAAAACGCCCCTTCCGATCAGCGCTCTTAGCCCAAAAGTCATCTACCTTTTTTTGTGCAAATTGGAATCCTCAAAATTGCTTCTGCATCCACCGGCACAAATACTTCTCTAATGAGATCCTCGTGCCACACCGCCGGCGCAGAGGTTGGATCAATCAGCTCTGCTACCTTCCTGGGCGGGTTGGGTACCTGAGAAGAAATCGGCTTCATAGTCATGTCTCGTGGAACCCAATTGTGTTTCCAAATATCGATAGTTTTACCATCTCCTATCCTTCGAATGATTCCTTGTGATAACACATCCTTGCCATCTAGAACAGCCCTCCAGATTTGTGATGGGTGTGGTCTGAGCTCGGCATCCAGCACTGAGCAATTCGGATAATAAACTGGCTGTAGAATCCGTGCACTGAGAGAAGATGGTTCCTGCATCAAACACCAAGCTTGCCTGGACAAAAGTGCAAGGTTAAAAATTTCGAGATCACGGAAGCCAAGCCCCCCCATGCTTTTTGGCCGAGTCATAACGTCCCATTAGACCCAGCATGGTTTTCTTTTTCCCTGCTTACTCCCCCACCAGAACTGTCGTATGATAGATGTTACATTCTTGCATAATCCCCTGGGAGTCTAAAGCAGGCCATGGAATAGACTAGGACCGCCTGAGCAACTGATTTAATTAACACCTCCTTCCCTGCAGCAAATAATATTTTCTCCATCCAGCCTTTCACCTTCTCCCAAACTCTATCACGCAAATATTTGAACGTGCCATTCTTTGAGTGTCCCAAGTCAGTTGGCATCCCCAAATACCCGTCGCTCAAAGACTTGTTCTGCACATTGAGGGATGCCTTTATACTGTCTCTCAAAATCTGAGGGCACCCCTTGCTAAAAAAGATTGAGGATTTATCATGGTTCACCCTTTGTCCCAATGCTGAACAGTAAATATTCAACAGGTTTGAAACCGCTTCCTCTCCCTCAACACTTGACTTGGAAAGCAGCAGGCTGTCATTTGCGAACAGAATGTGGTTGACCGTCGGGGCTTACGGTGCCACCTTAACTCCGCTAAGAACTGATGACTGAGAACTGGTCTTTAAAAAGGCACGAAAGGCCCTCTACCGCAGTCAAGAAAAGACAGGGGGAAATTGGATCTCCCTGTCTTATACCTCTGCTAGGTTTGAAATCATCAAGCTTTTCTCCATTGAATAAAACTGAAAAAGACACTGACCTCACCATACCCATAACTGTGTCAATCCATGTTGTTGCAAATCCAAGCTTCACCATAATAGCTTCCAAGTCCAACTCCAGCCTATCATAAGCTTTCATCATATCCAGTTTTAGGGCACAAAAACTGTTAGCCTTTGATTTCGATCTCTTCATAAAATGCAGGCACTCATATGCACATATGATGTTATCTGTAATTAGCTTGCCAGGGACAAAGGCTGACTGTTCTTCAGAGATAATGTCTGGCAGAATAAGCTTCAATCTGTTCGATACCACTTTCGAAGCAATCTTGTAGAGTACATTGCATAAGCTAATGGGTCTGAATTGAGATAACAAAGACGGGTTCATTACCTTGGGAATCAGCACAAGAACCATATCATTTATGCATTCTGCACTCTCCTCCACATGGTGTGATGTGTCTTGCTTGGCTCAGCCACTTTGCATGCGCAGCCTGCTTAAGTTTTCTTGTTTTGTATTACCTCCGTCCCAAATTAGTTGTCTTAGATTTTTTTGAAACACGGTCCCTTAGGGCCCGATTCATTAAAAAGGTAGAATAGAGTTGCCCGGTTAATTAACGGAAACCCGGGCGAAAACAGTTACAACACGCCCACAAGAAAGGGCACCTTGGCCGACCTGGCACCTACAAGACCACACCGCCAAGAAGAGGACACCGTCGAGGTTGCCTGCAATGTCATCGTTATCACCTCTCCCCGAGCAGGCGACTCCGTTTCTGCCGCTGACGACCTACCAAGACCCCATCGAGTGAACGACACACGAGGACCTCATCGGCCATAGCCAAACAATCGACCGCAGACGTCGAGGACCGACAACTCCGATTTTGTTGAAGGGCTTCACTGGAGAAAGTTGAAAGCCTCGCATCGACCTAGCCTAGCGCAACCTCCAAAGAGCACCGTCCACCGAAACCACCCTCATGGAGTCATCGTTGCCGCACGGCCCCGCCGCACGCAGCTCCGACTTCTCTGTCACAGTGAGAAATAAGCATAGGCGGCGCACTCGTCGGCGAACCAAACCATCAACATTAGAAGGACAAGCCATGACCCAGCTCTACACGTCACCATTGTCGTCGCCGCACGGGTCGCAACGCCAACCACTCGCATCACCGGTTGGGCACCTGCCAACCGTGACGCCGTGCACGTCCAGCCCAATAGGAGCGTGGAGAAGGATCGCCGGTCTTCAAAGCAACACCCCAAAGAAAGAAACGCCGTAGGGACGACGCCGTTGCCCGACCCAAACGGGTCTAGGCTTTCGCCCGAAGAACCAGATCTGAGGATGAAGCGGGTCGAAGAAACTCCATAGTGATGCCCTCAAAAAAGAGAACGACGCTCGTAGGCGCTGCCGTCGCCGGCTGGCTCTTGCCGGTTAAGCTTTCGCTTGGAGCAGACTTGACAAACATCCTCGCGCCGACGGTTGAAGCCGGGCGCAACCGCTGACCCGTGCACCTCCAGTGTGGCGACGACGCCAATGCCACGCAGGAGGCACCTCCTCACCACCAGCAGACGCCGGCGAGCCAAAAACGACCGAGACCGGCCAGATCCGGCACCCCGCCGCCACAACACCGCAACAGCAGCAGCAAGCACAACTGTGGGCCTGCACTCGCAGGAAGGGGGGCTGCCACCCCGCCCCGCCACACCGGGAAGGAGCTTAGGGCGGAGCCCCGGAGCTCGCAGGCCGCGAGTCGCGCGTGGAGAAACTTCAGGGGCAGGAAGGGGAGGGACACCATCCCCATCCGACTCGCCGGCAGGAGATTCGGGCCGCAGCCCAGGATCCCGATGACGAAGACATGGCGTCTGCCACCCGCCAAAGACACGACCTGAATCACCAGGCGCCACGGCTGCCATGACGAGCGGGAGCGAGCCTCCCTCTACAACTGAACGCCCCGCAAAATGGGGGAAACCCCGCCGCCACCGTCCGTCGGGCGGACTTAGTCCGGCGGCTTCATCCGCCGACGGCGAGGAGAGGTAGGGGCGGCGGGGAAGACTGGCGGCGGCGGATCTAGGTTCCGCCCGTGTCGCCCCGGAAGGCGACGCGGGGAACGGGAGATACAAAGTTGCAAAGTTTAGCCAACTTTTTTCGAGAAAACGCAAATGGCTTTTGCGTTTCATTGCATTGGAAAGAAAGGGGAATTTACATCCTCCTAGGAGGCAGTTTTAACAGCCAACAGAGACTCAGTGGACATCCCAGGATGATGGCAAAACAACCCTGAGCCCTTGAGCCCCGGTCTTTGCCCAACACCAGGTCTCGTCTTTAATCCTGTCTACAAGCTCATTCAGCGATGGGCTCACATGGTCGAAAACGCACGCGTTCCTATGCTTCCAAATCATCCACGGCACCAAAAGTGCCACGGATTTGAGCGCCTTGCGAAGCGCTGGCGGTGTGAATTCCTTTGCTCGCAGCCACCAATCCATGAGCGAGCCGTCGTGCTCGGGCGCCGGCGCCGGTAGGCGCAGCCAGGATAGGACCTCATGCCATGTCTGCTTCGTGAATGGACAAGTGAGCATCAGGTGCCCAATCGTCTCCGGTTCTTGGTCGCACAGAAGGCATCGCGGGTGGTGTTGCAGGCCACGACGTGCGAGTCTCTCCGCGGTCCAGCAGCGATCTTGACATGCCAGCCAGTGGAAGAACTTTACCTTGGGCGGTGCCCAGCTCCTCCAAATGAGCTTCCAGGAGTGGCAGCCTGTCGCGCCCTGGAAGGTGGCCCGGTAGCAAGACTGGGCGGTGTAAACGCCGTTGGCTGTCCAACTCCAGAGCAGCCTGTCCGGCTCATTGGACAACTCGACATGCTGCACTAAGTGCCAGAGTTTTAGGTATTGTCCAGACATTAGCCAACTTTAGTTGTCTTAGATTTGTCTAGATACGGATGTACCTAACACTAAAACGTGCCTAGATACATTCGTATCTGAACAAATCTAAGACAACTAATTCGGGAGGTTGTATAATTTGTTTGCTTGTAAGTGCACTTTTAACTTCTTCTTTTGCAACTGATGATGTCTTATCACTAGAAATTAGTTCGTTTCTTGAACAGAGAAAGAGCTAACACTACTATCTTTTGCTTTCTGCAGAGGTTCAATTTTTATGCAAAACGCAGGAGAAATAGAGACACAAAAAGAACAATGATACGGAATATGTCTGAGTATGCGGAGCAGCTCTTCAATGTCAGTGAAACAAAATGACTAGCATCTTTGTGTCATTCAATTTTGTTCAATTAGTTTTGGGTGATTAGGTTAAGATGATTGGCTTTCACAACTGCTGAACTTAGGATGATCGAACTTAGATACATACTCCCTCCGTTTCTAAATATTTGTCTTTCAAGACATTTCAAATGGTTACAACATACGGATGTATGTAGACATATTATTGAGTATAGATTCACTCATTTTGCTTCGTATGTAGTCACCTGTTGAAATGTCTAGAAAGACAAATATTTAGGAACGGAGGGAGTATTACTCATTATCTGTTATCATGTTCTTTGCATTCTTGTAATTTTAACTTACATTCGTCAAGAATAAATGCAGTGTTTTGGAGAACATATGAACCATATATACCCTGCAAAGTTTTGAGATAAATGAATGCTCAAAGTTTGTTCTGGAAGATCTCTGCGAGAAACTTGGTAGGGTTAATCCTTTTTGAGATTGGCAGCTTTAAGGCTTGCAATCCTACAAGGTGTGTAAAATTTAGTAATCAAGAGACTGGTATAGAAGAAATGTCTCTTTATTTCATTGCTTAAAGTTTTGCAAGGAAAGAAAATGAACTAAATATTGCTCTGTATTTTTGTGCTCCCGTAGTTGTATTCACTTTAACACCGGTTGCAGTTTTCAATCAAAATGACTTGTAAGTACTTGTGTTTTTAACCTAGACATTTTCATTTATAATAATGTTCAGAGTTGGCGTGATGAAGATGAGAAAAAAGACGCATCTAGTGGACCTTCATGGTTTAGAGGACATCGTTGGGTCAGAGATTCGAGGAATAATGGTTTCCGTCCACATGAGTTTTTTTACGATACTGTCAAAAGCAGGGGTACAGTTCCTTATCTGCACTTCTCTTTCTACTTAATGAATAAATTTGAATCATTTTCTGGTATGCACTGTAGTTTAATTCAGGAGTCAAGACTCCAACTTCTTAAGCATTTATGAAGTACAGCTATTTTGGTTACTATATTCTATTCTAGTTAGACCTATACTGAACCTTATAAAGTTTGGGTGTTTCTTGTTTGGACAGGGGGATTTGAGTTTTGCACAAGCGATGATGATGATGAACCAGAGACTGTTTTTCGCAATGCTTTTCGTGGGAACCAGCACACATATTATTGGTCTTTTGAATCTGATGATTTTCCAAGGAGGAATTCAAGACGTTCTCATTCAGAAAGTTCCGGACACTGGAGTTATGAAACAGACGATGAGGGCGAAATATCCACCCAGACAGAGGTATCTGTGGCGCGTCAGGCTCTTGGATTGAGTACTTCTGGCCCACTAAAACTCGAAGATGTTAAAAGCGCGTAAGATCGTTGAGGCTTTGAGCATTTCACTAGCCTTGAGTAATTTTTTTGGGATTATGGCATGAGCCATGATAACATCGTATCCTTCATTTCGTTTTTACTCTGGAACATTTGTTTTACCATCTATCTCCTCCCCTTTTCATACTAGATACCGGACGTGTGCACTTAGATGGCATCCAGATCGTCATCATGGCTCATCGAAGGTAGTAGTCTTTCAACATCCAAGTTTAACTTCTCTTTGGAAAGTTTTTTTGTATGCCGTCATTTCATTCTGTGATAGATATGCTGGTTTCCTGAGTTCACCTCAGGCTCAGGTGCTACCGTGAGATGACAATTAGCCAAATTAAATATCAGGAACTAAAACTACACATCCAGACCCCCTCTTCCGTCCTTTATTCTTGACTCAAATGCTGTAGGAGTGCACTTCCAATGGTCCAACCTTAGTGATAATGCAGTACACTATCTATAATTAATGTAACATTAGATCAATAAGGATTGGTTAGCAGCTCACCTAGGTTCCATACAAAACATATGTTACAGCCATTTTTTCCATTCAAAAGTAGGCCACACATGATTCAGTAGAAGACATGCATTTAATCTTGGTTCAGACCGACATAGTACCTGCAAAACATTGTATCTTCTAGTGTCTAATCTGATGTTTTGAACTTCTGTTTTTCATTTACCTCAAGGACTTCACTGTTACAATTGTTTGTCTACAAAACTCATGAGTATTATGGATTTTCTTTCATGGGCAGGCTACCGCAGAGGAGAAATTCAAACGTTGCAGTGCAGCATACCAGACTCTGTGTGATAGTTTGGCTACTGCATAATAATGTGATAAGAATATCCGAGCTACATTAGTTCCTTCCACCAGCAGAAATCAACTTCGTAACTGCAAATTCTGGAGGCCTACCACTTGCAGACCAACTTCTTATCTGCAGATTCTGCTGTGCACAAGCCAAAATGCCAAAAATTGCTTGGCTCTCTAAAGGAGTTGGCTCAAGCCAAAATTGATCAGATAATGTCAAAGTACTGTACCATGTAACATCTCTAAACTGGTCATTGATTTATTTTTAGAGACAGGACATTATTATACCACTCAGGATTTTGTGGTGGATGGGTTATCTCACCCCAATATAGTCAGTTTAATTGAATGTTTTGGTATTTTTTGTGCTTAGTAAACAGTTGAGTTTAACAAGGAGTTATATAGTCCTTCATATACTATCTATTTTTTGTGCTTAGTAAACAGTCCTGGTCCTTCAGCCTTTGTTGCTGTTACACAATAGGAGTTCTACAAGGACACTTTTCTTTTCGGGCGTGGGGTTTCTTCTTCTGAGCTCAAATGCACCCTCGTGAACCTTGAAACAGAAATAGATAGTAAAAAAATCCCAGTTTTTTGCCTTTTGGAATGTTAACCATTTAAATAGGGTTAATTAAATTTTTGCTTGTGTTGCTTGAGCTTAGCTAGTTTTGACTAGGATTTGAAGCCTTAGATTTTATTTGTACTTCAAAAACATTTTGGTAGTTATTTAGAACCCAAAATTTATTTATCAGGGAATACTTAGAATGCCAAATATAGAGTTTATACAATTATTATATGTATTTTATGTAATATTTGGTCCCGAAATATTCTCCCTAAGTCCTAAATATTATGTTGGATTTTTTAGAAGTTCCCAAATTGAATTGGATTGGTTTCGGAATCAAATCTATTTCAAAACATGAAAAGGAATAGGAAAAACCTACTGTTAAACTAAATCCGAGCCCGAGTGGCTCTTAACTTCTTTTTTCGAGTGTTTATATAATTATGGCATGAAATTTATTTTCAAAAAGAAATCCTTCCCCCGATCCGTATCAATTGCCGCTGCTTTAGTATAGAATTCTCTGCATAATTCAGAGGCCGAACCCCGACACCAGCACCCCTCAAACGACCCACCCCAGCTCCCTGTCACGCCACTGCACCGTGACATTGTCTCCCCGAGCAGGATCTTCCTCCCCACTGCCATCCATATGCATGGCCCCTCAACTTTAGCCTGAGCATTGCGTTGAAAGTTAGAGCAGATCTAATCCAAACTAGATCACCTAATCATCTCGCCGCTAGTGTCCAAACCCCAGATCCCCCGGCCGCAACGGGCGACACGCGCGCCGGCGCCCGGCCCGCCACTAGCGCACGTCCATTTCCTCGAGAAGCCCAGCCCCCACCACTTGCCGCCGGCCGCCCATCCACCACCCCACCCCACCCGACCCCCTCGGGAAACCGCGCGTCCACGGGTCCAATGATTGAGGATCGGAGCCGCCTACCACCACAGCGGATGGGCCTTTTCCGGTAGTTTTCCGCCTTTCTCCCGTGCACCCCCCGCGCCCCGGCGCCCGGGCCCCCACGGCCGGCCGGTGAGAGGCCTGGCCAGCTAAAGCAGCGGTGGCCGGCCGTCGCCTCGTGCCGGCGATTCCCAGCCACCCGCGGAAAGCGCCGCGCCCCTCCCGTAAATCCTCTCTCTCTTTGCCGGGCGACAGCACCGCGCAACTGCATGCACTGCTGCGGCTCGACCATGCCCGTGCGTGTCCACTGTGCCTCACATGAACCTGCACAAGATCCTACGGGAGAAAGTCAGACGGCCGATAGTGACTGAGATTGCAGGGTGATGGTGATGATGATGAGATTGCGTTCAGGAATGCGTTGAGTCGGGAACAGGGAATGTGGGGGACGCTCGCATGCAGCTGCGGCAAAAGACACAAATTTGACCTTAGATTAAAACTATTTCACAAACTAAACTGTTCTTAAAAGTATTTCACCCGGCTGACTTTTAATGTGCAGCGCCTGACAACAAGGCGCTGCACTCTACTGTGCAACGTCTAACACTTAGGTGCCACACTGTGCAGCGCCTAGCTCTAAGGAGTTGCACTACACTGTGCAGCGCCTAGCTGTAAGGAGTTGCACAGTAGAGTGCAGCGCCTTGTTGTCGGGCGCTACACAAAAGGGTCAGCAGTGTGAAATATTTTCAAAAGCAGTTTAGTTTGTGAAATACTTTCGCTTTGAGATCAAATTTATTAATTTTGCCGCTGCAGCTGCAACGAGGAATTGGGTGACACTCTGAATGGAGAATGAAAAGGGGTGCTCAACTCAGATGATATATCAGCTCAATGTTCATTGCTGAGCCCCTTTAGCTAGATTCCGTTGATTTCGTTATGTATAAAGCCTGCCTTGCTCTGCACAGCAATCATTGGCTGGAAGTACTTTTCGTCGGTTGGAGTTCTAGGCCGCAGGGAAACCCAGAACGTTAGAATTTAAGATAATATGCATTAGCAAAAAGTTGTCTTCATCTTCATTAAAATATGATTTTGGGGAAATTTGCATTTTGCGGTTTGTAGGCATCATTTTTCTTGTTATTTTTACTTCGTTATTGTCATGTTGTCGTCAGCCGCGCGCATGAGGTCGCGCCGTCAGGAGCCACGGTTGCATACGACGTCCAGTTGCTGGCAGGGGACGTGTGTGATGGAGGACGGTTTTGTTGTCCTAGCGCCGATCAAGACCTCTCTTTTGCCGTCGCAGGAGGTGCTCCAATACTCCATCGCCAAGATGGCGGGTTCATCGACGACTTCGAGCCAAACTCGGATCCACCGGGACATGAAGTAGAGGCTCGTCGCCGGAGCACACGGTTAGGGGCATAGCGTTGGCGTTGCGCAACACCGGGAACAAAGACAAGGGGATCGATGAGATTGCCAACTACGCACACCGCACGATGGCGCCATTACCAATGCCGCAACACAGAGGGATCCCATACAGGCGCTCGATCGCTATGGCTCAGGCGACGCCGCATACATGAGGTGGTGCGGTCCCGGCTCCTTCACGAAGTGGCATAATGTAGTGGCGGTGTTGGCTCGATGCGGGCGTGTGTTGGATTCCGTGGCACGACCCTGCCTAGGGGCCTAATCTCGTCGTTGGGGGCCATGGTGGTGGACATCAGGGCGGGGACATGTTGGGTGGATCCGTGACGTGGCTGCAATGGCGGCGGTCTATGAGGTGGCGGCAACACCTAGTACTTTTCATCGATTGGAGTTCTAGGCCGTAGAGAAACCCAGAACGTTAGAATTCCAAATAACATGCATTAGCAAAACATTGTCTTCATCTTCATCAGAATATGATTTTGGGGACATTTGCGTTTCGCGGTTTGTAGGCATCATTTTTCTCGTTATTTTTACTTCGTTATTGTCATGTTGTGGTCAGCCGTGCCTGGGGTCGTACCGTCAGGAGCCACGGTTGCATATGACGTCCAGTTGCCGGCAGGGAATGCGTGCGATGGAGGATGATTTTGTTGTCCTAGCGCCGATCAAGACCTCTCTGTTGCGTCGGAGAAGGTGCTCCAATGTGGCTACTCCATCGCCAAGATGGTGGGTTCATCGATGACTTCGAGCCAAACTCGGATCCACCGGGACAGGAAGTGGAGGCTCGTCGCAGGAGCGCGCAGTTACGGGCATAGCGTTGGCGTCGTGCAACACCAGGAACAAGGACAAGGGGATCGATAAGATTGCCAACTACGCACACCACATGATGGCGCCATTACCAATGATGCAACATAGAGGGATCCCATACAGGCGCTCGATCTCTATGGCTCAGGCGACGCCGTAGACGTGAGGTGGTGCGGTCCCAACTCCTACACGGAGTGGCATAATGTAGTGGCGGCGTTGGTGATGACCCACAAGTATAGGGGATCTATCGTAGTCCTTTCGATAAGTAAGAGTGTCGAACCCAACGACGAGCAGAAGGAAATGATAAGCAGACTTCAGTAAGGTATTCTCTAAAAGCACTGAATTTATCGGTAATAGATAGTTTTGTGATAAGGTAATTTGTAACGGGTAACAAGTAATGAAAGTAAATAAGGTGCAGCAATATGGCCCAATCCTTTTTGTAGCAAAGGACAAGCCTGGACAAACGCTTATATAAAGAAAAGCACTCCCGAGGACACATGGGAATTATCGTCAAGCTAGTTTTCATCACGTTCATATGATTCACATTCGATACTTTGATAATTTGATATGTTGGTGGACCGGTGCTTGGGTGCTTCCCTTCCTTGGACAAGCATCCCACTTATGATTAACCCCTCTTGCAAGCATCGGCAACTATAGAAGAAGTATTAAGGTAAACCTAACCATAGCATGAAACATATGGATCCAAATCAGCCCCTTACGAAGCAACTCATAAACTAGGGTTTAAGCTTCTGTCACTCTAACAACCCATCATCTACTTATTACTTCCCAATGCCTTCCTCTAGGCCCAAGTAATGGTGAAGAGTCATGTAGTCGACGTTCACATGACACCACTAGAGTAGAGACAACATACATCTCATCAAAATATCGAGCGAATACCAAATTCACATGATTACTTATAACAAGACTTCTCCCATGTCCTCAGTAACAAATGTAACTACTCACAAATCATATTCACGTTCATAATCAGAGGGGTATTAATATGCATAAAGGATCTGAACATACGATCTTCCACCAAGTAAACCAACTAGCATCAACTACAAGGAGTAATCAACACTACTAGCAACCCACAGGTACCAATATGAGGTTTTGGGACAAAGATTGGATACAAGAGATGAACTAGGGTTTGAGATGAGATGGTGCTGGTGAAGATGTTGATGGAGATTAACCCCCTCCCGGTGAGAGGATCGATGATGATGACGGTGGTGATGATTTCCCCCTCCCGAAGGGAAGTTTCCCTGGCAGAACAGCTCCGCCAGAGCCCTAGATTGGTTCCGCCTCGTGGTGGCAGAGTTTCGTCCCGTGAGCTAGCTTATGATTTTTTCAGGGCAAAAGACCTCATATAGCA